GGGTTTATTGTGAGAAAGAATAGTAGCTTTGCACAAAATGTCTTCTTGGATAATAATGTTTGCATGCACAAATGGCTTAAATGTGAGAGAGAATAGAGGAACTTAGTGCAAAATAGAAGAGATGGTTTATAGAGATTGTTTTCTCGAGTCACAGCTTCAATACTTGTGAGAGAGGAGACTCAAGTGCGAGAGAGAAATGAGGGTTTGTAAAGGGTGTCTTTCTGGGTCACAACTTTAGTAATTGTGTGTGTGTGAAAGTAAGTGATTAAAGTGAGAGTGTCTCTTAGTTTCTGACGATATTTTAATAAAGAGAAATAATTAGTGATAAAATATTTTCGTCTCCTTCAACTTAACCTTATGAGACGAAAATATATTTGTCGTGCAATCAATCAAAATGCAACACGACACATGGAGAATTTATTAGTGATGAAATATCTTCGTCTCCCAAAGCATATCCTTTTGAGATAAAAATATATTTGTCGCCTAATTAACAGAAAGATAAAACGAGCATGAAGAGTTTATTGGTAACGAAATATTTTCGTCCCCCATAACTTATCCTTCCTAGACAAAAAATATATTTGTCACCAAATAAATAAGAAAATGAAACGACATCGTCTAATAAGTTTGGAATTTATTGGTGATGTATTCCTTTTGTCGCAAAAAGCTTTAAATTTTGTGACAAAAATATTTGTCTCCAATGAGCTAAAATAATTGGCGCCAACAAGAACAAAAATTGGCGCCTCTTTTTTTTCTGACGAATTTATTTTTTCGTCTCCTATAGTTTTAAGAAGAATTAAAAGAAACGACAAAAGTAATGTTTGGGTTACGTTCTAAAACGAAAATAAATTTTATCACCAAATTTTAAAAATTAATTATTGAAAACTCCATACTAAACAAGGTAATGTTTTCTATTAATTTTGAAAATTACAAATTTTTTATTATTTGTTTCTCTGTATTTTTTCTCACAAAAAAAAAAAGCTACATTATTTATTTATTTTTATTTTTTTGTGGAGAGAGGTTTTGACATTCGATTTTTCTGAAATGGGTGCTCTAGATGGAAAGAGTAGAGTTGGTTCAGATAATGAGAAAAAGTGCTTGCGTGCAACAGGGGCCTTCACTGTGAGAAAGAATAGTGGGTTTGCATAGGGTGCCTTCTTGGATAATAGCTTCAATGCTGGCATGCACGGAGGGCTTAAGTGTGAGACAAAAGATAGGGGCTTTAGTGCGAAATAGAAGAAATGGTTTACAGAGTGTCTTCTTGAGTCACGACTTCAATGCTTGTGAAAGAGGAGTGGACTTGCGTGTGAGAGAGAAATGAGGGTTTGTAGAAAGTGTTTTCTTGGTCATGACTTCAAGGTCCGTGTACATGAAAATGAGTGATAAGCGTCAGAGTGTATCTTTGGGGTCACAGTTTTAATGCTTCGAAACACAAAACCATGACATTTTAATAAAGAGAAATGATTAGTGTTAAAGTATTTTTGTATCCTTAAATACCAAAACAAAGAATTTATTATTGGTGATGAAATATTTTTGTTTTCCACAACTTAACCTTATGAGACAAAAAATATATTCGTCACGCAATCAATTAGAATTTATTAGTGACGAAATATTTTCATCTCCCATATCTTATTCTTCTGAGACAAAAATATATTTTTCGCCTATTTAATATAAAGATGAAATGACATTGTCTGCATGATGGAGTGTTTATTGGTGACGAAATATTTTCGTTTTCCATAACTTATCCTTCCTAGACAAACATATATTTGTTGCCTAATAAATGGAAATATGCAGCGACATCGTTTAATATGTATGGAATTTATTGGCGATGAATTATGTTTGTCACAAAAAAAATTATATTTTGTGATAAAAATGTTCGTCTCCAATGAGCTAAAATAATTCGCGCCAATGCAAATGAAATTGGCGCCTCATTTTTGTAGACAAAATTTTGTTTTTGTCTCCTATACTTTTGAGAAAAATTAAAACAAACGACAAAATTAATATTTCGTCATCTTTGGGTTAAATTTTAAGACAAAAAAAAATTTCATCACCAAATTTTGTCACAATAGCCTAGATTTCTTGTAGTGACTATTTAAAAAAAAAAGAGAAAGATATTATTGGAAAAAGTTTAAAAAAAATTATTTACTATGTTTTACGAATATGATAGGTATTATATTCGCGTCAAGCCGGGGGTTTATAGTGAATATGTGGTGATGGGAGAGAACAAGACGAACATTGCTCTGATTGGTGATGATGCCACCACCACGAAAATTATGGGTAACTGGAGTAACGCCACCGGATTTGGAACTCTACGGTCTGCTACAATGAGTAAACTTCACTCACTCTCTTGCAAGCAATTCTATTTTGGTTGTTTTTTAGTTTGCATGTGTTTAGAGTTCATGTAGTAATTTTTTTTACTATGGCCTTCAAAAGTTAAATCTTTTTGCATGAAAAAAGTTGGAAAAATAAGTGTGGATAATATTTATTGAGGAAATTACAAATCAAATTATTTTTATAAAAATATTTATAGATTAGTAAATAAATTATTAATATTAATAATTAAAATAATAATTTTTTCAATGAATTTGTAATTGTTTTTTTAACACTACACTGGTTGTAATTTTTCCATATTTATTTTTGAATCTCGCCTGCATGGTCGAAGTTAAGGTTATATTCCCATCATCCTCTTTAGCCTGACATATGTATACATTTTCAATAATGAATGTATCGTTGAACTGGAATTGATATATTGTGAGGTTTAAACTTCAATGAATTTGAAATACATTGATATTTTTGAGTAAAATTCTTAGTATATAGTATGTTTCTTAATAACTGGATATTCAGACCAATTTATAAGTACCTCAACTAATCCCGAATCTGAATTATTGATAGATTTTTGTTTTCACAGCTGTTTATGGAAAGGCTTTATTGGCCAGTCTTTAACCATTGAGAACTCAGCTCCAATAAACAGTCATCAAGTAGTTGCACTATACAACAATGCAGATCACTCAGCATTTTACAAGTGCATTTTCATGGGTTACCCAGACACCCTATTGGCAAACAAAAATTCACAATTTTACAAAAACTGTGAAATTTCAGGCATTGTTGATTTCATTTTTGGTTACGCCTCAGCCGTGTTTCAAGATTGTGGCATCTACGTTCATTGACTCTCACCTCCCAATGTGATCACTGCTAACGGTGGGAAGCCCGATCCAACATCGGCTAATTTTGGATTTTCATTCCAAAATTGCACAATCAACGTTGCACCGGAACTTAGGTCACGTAAAAAGGAAGTGAAGGCTTTCCTAGGGCGGCCGTGGAAAAATTATGCCACAGTAGTGTTCATGGAATCGTATTTGGATGAAATCGTACTGTCGGAGGGGTGGACACTGTGTTGTAATAACATGATTATGATGTTCGCGGAATACAATAACCGAGGCCCCGGGCAGATACTAGTAGGAGGGCGAAATTGCCAGGATGTAAGGTTTTCACAAGTGCAGCTGAAGCTGCCCCTTTTACAGTGTCTAAGCTCATTGATGGAGATTCATGGATCCCTCAAACTAGCATACCCTATAGGGGTGGTTCAATTAATGTGTGAAACTATTTTTCTTTTTCTTTTTTCTTTTTTCTATCACTAATTTACATTAAGGAACACAAAATACCACGCAATTGACATGGTCATGGAATTTAATAGTTAATGTTATTTTAGTGTGTAGTTTGTTTTGAAATAATACTTTTAATTGCAGGTGCATTATTCTATCACTTTGTATATAAATTTTGTGAATCATGAAAGCTTTCCTTGTTAGACACAATGGCCAAATCAGTACTTTTGAAATATTATGTTGTATTGTCTGTGTAGTACTTAACACGCAATGAAAAATTCTGTTATTAGGATAATATTTGACTCACTTTGTTAAGTGGTTGAGAGACAAAAAGATTCAATAGGAGACAAATGAGAGTATAAAAGAGATGAAAGGGAATGAACTATAACAAAGTGAATTACAATGACGCCCCAAAGAATTGAAAAAAAATAAAATAAGTTTTACAGTTTTTATATAATTTTATTGAATTTTTTTAAAAAAAAAAATATAGTAAGGCTAATGAAATTGAAACTATCATAAGTGATGTGAAAACATAAAGACAAATAAGATAAAATATGCATTTTAACATAAAAGTGATGATAAAATTATTTTTTATTTATATGACTAACCAATTATTGATAAAAAAAAATAAATAAAAATAATTGAGTGTTATGTGAATTAAACTTTAAGAGAATCTAATATAATTATGTTGAAATTATAAAACTTACTATATATATTTTTTTAAACCCGAGGATCATTAATGTAATTTAGGGGGGTGTTCGGCATTTAATTACTTTTCAAGTTCATGTTGTGTAGACGGATACAAAAAGATACAAAATAAAAAATGTTAAAAAAATTCCAAACTTTTTTAACAAAGATAAAAAAAAAAAAAAAAAAGGTCAACAAAAAATTGGAAGAGCCAACTGCTTTTGTTTATTTTCTTCTTACTTATATATATATATATATAAACAAGGCCCCGGATTTGTTTGATTGAGAAGAATTCGAATGTGTAAATTTTTTTAGAATATTTTGAAAAAAAAATCACTACAGATCATAAAAACTAACAAAAGAAAGCTACTAAAATAGCTATTAATGGGTTAAAATAGTTCATCCCAAGTTAAAATAGTGAATAAAATAAAATATAACATGTAACGCCCTCAAAATAACAACATTAAACCCATCAGATAAGACATGCATTTACATATAAACTAACTGCATTCTTCTATTCATTAGAGTTCCATTACATAAGTATTACATGTTAACATCAAAACAAAATGCCCTACGGGCTTACAGCTTTCCAAGTTAACACTTGGTTACAACAAAAGAGTACTAACTCGTTTACACATAAAGCCCTTGGCTTGAAGTTACATGTAATACATCAAAAGTAAAACAACTACACTATGTCCGCCTCTAGCCTCCCAAGCTATGTCCTTGGAGGTGGCATGCTACCAGTACCTGAAAATGATATTCCCATATAGGGTGAGCCACAGCCCAGTAAAAATGCACTAAACCAACCATGGACAATGACTAAAACATTAGCAATTGATAGTTGGTCAACACCGATACAATCACATAAATTACATATTTATGTCAACGACTCACAAGTCCCAATTACTTTTCATTTTCCCCTTTTCAACAGATAAGCATGCTAGCTCTATCACCATTTCCACAGATATGTATAAAAACAATATCTCACATTCAGATAAGCATAAAAGCTACATCCACATTCTCAACAGATATGTATAACAACAATATCCCACATTCACAGATAAGCATATAGAATATCCACATTCTCAACAGATATGTATAACAACAATATCCCACATTCACAGATAAGCATATAGAATATCCACATTCTCAACAGATATGTATAACAACAATATCCCACATTCACAGATAAGCATATAGAATATCCACATTCTCAACAGGCCCTAGGCTAGATTCACACCCTAGAGAGATCAAATCTTAGAGAGAGTGTAAGTTTAGAGTGAGAGGGTCTCGGATCAAGGGTTTGAAAGAAGAAAAAGGTGAAAAAAGTGATGTTCGAAACGCTACTGTTCGCTGATATAAAACACGCTCGCTCGAGCGACCAGACACAGAAAACTCTCGCTCGAGCCAAGATTTTCTCGATCGAGCGAAGAAAAACCCAGACCGCTCGAGCGAAGGAAGCTCGCTCGAGCCAAGAAAGGCAACTCTCAGGTCCAGAACCAGACGCCATCGCTCGCTCGAGCGAAGCCACTCTGGCTCGACCCACCAGACACAAACCCACTCTCGCTCGAGCGACCAACTCCTCGCTCGAGCGAAGGCCCAGAATTCTGGGCAGCAACACTTGGCTCCCATACACAACCAACCTGTAACAAACCTGCCCAACACATCCTATAACTCAATATACAAAGTAAAAAGGATGCAAACAAGATAATAAACAACTACCAACATCCACGGACACATGTCCGGATCACTGTACAACAAGGGTAAACCCGGGATCGCTATATAACATCACATCATTCTCTTTATTTTATTCATTTATTTATTTATTTTTTTACTTTTTTTCATAAAAAATCAAATAACCAACTAAAATAATCTAGGGTTTGTTTGGGAAGTTGGTTGATTTTTTGGCTTTTTGACTATTTTAGCATGAGGCTAAAAAGTCTCGTTTAGGAAGGGCTTTTTAACTTTTTGTGAGAGAAAAAATGTAATGATTATGAGTTGAATGTGACATTTTGTGTTATTGGGCTAAAATAATATATTTTGTCTTATATGATTATTTTAGCTCAAACCTTCATTCTCAAACGGAGCCCTAATAGAACCTAACAAGCTGGTTCAAGCCTAAATGAGGTCGACATTAAAATCTTAATAGAAGATTATTTTTTATATTTTAAATAATATTTTATTTTATTTTTTTATATAAAATTTACCGTTTCTATTTTGTAAATTAAAATTTGAAAGCTCGTTAAAATTAAAATATTATTTTTTATCTCTCTCTCTCTCTCTCTCTCTCTCTATGTTTCTTCATTGTGTTTTTGCTTGTTTGGAGGTATAAGATTGGAATATCTAATTCAAGTAATTCAAATTCAGCTTTTTGTGGGTTTTTGTAAAAAGGAATAGAATGTTTTTCTTCTGAATTAATTTTCATTCAATTAGAAGGTATACTTTTATACAAGAAAATTCCTCCAATCATGCTAATCTATTCTAGGTAATCTAAATGTAATAGGAATCTAAATACTACAGCTAATTACAATAATACATTATAGCAATCACAATACATACTTATCCCATAAATGTTGGGATATCTTTGACCATCTTAACACTCCCCCTCAAGTTGGTGAACACATCCGCAAGTTGATTTCCCGAAACAACATATTTGGTCGCAACCGAACCGTCTTGTATTTTATCACGAATAAAATGACAATCCATCTCTATATGTCTAGTTCTTTCATGAAAAACAGGATTGGCTGAAATGTGTAAAGCTGCTTTGTTGTCACAACATAACAATGCTGGTTTCGGATGTAATATTCTCAAATCTTTCAATAATGATCGCAACCAAGATAACTCACAGCAGGTACCCGTCATTGCTCTATATTCAGCTTCTGCTGAGAAGAGAGACATAGTTTTCTGCCTTTTTGTCCGCCATGAAATAAGAGAAGATCCCAAGAAAACGCAATAACCCGTGGTGGATCTACGAGAAGTTGGACAACCAGCCCAATCTGAGTCAGAAAAGGCTCGCAAAGATAAATTGTTCTGAGAAGGAAAAAAAAACCCTATCCTGGATTACTTTTCAAATAACACAAAGCCCGCAAGGCAGCTTCCATATGTGGCTTGCGTGGTGCATGCATGAATCTGCTTAAGACATGTACCGTATAGGTGATATCCGGCTAGGTAATGGTCAAATAAATTAGGTGTCCAACAAGTCGCCTATATTGCGATGGATCTCAAAGTAATTCACCTTCATCCGAGAGCTTAATGTTTTGCTCCATGGGAAAGTTCACAGGTTTAGCGCCCAAAAAACCACCATCCTTTAGAATTTCCAAAGTGTATTTTTGTTGTGAGATGGAAATACCTTTCTTTGACCGAGAGACTTCAATGCCCAGAAAATACTTTAATTCACCCAAATCTTTAATTTGGAAACGACTATACAAAAATTGTTGAAGAGCAGAAATGACAGTGAGATCATTACCTGTAATAATAATGTCATCAACATATATCAACAAGGTTGTAAAGGATGTGCCTTTCCAACATGTGAACAATGAGTAATCTGCTTTAGATTGAACAAAACTGGTAGCCTGGATAGCTTGAGAGAACTTGGCAAACCATTGACGAGAAGCTTGCTTTAAGCCATATAACGACTTGGTGAGGCGACACACTAAGTTCTCCCCCCGTCGCGGAAGACCAGGAGGCAAAGACATATAAATTTCTTCATGGAGATCACCATGAAGAAATGCATTTTGGACATCAAGTTGGTGAAGAGACCAATTCTAGGTAGCGGCCAAAGCTAATAAACAATGAATAGTAATCATTTTGGCAGTGGGAGAAAAAGTGTCATGGTAATCGATACATTCCATCTGGTTATAGCCTTTCGCAATCAAACG